CTTGTGAGGAGCGAAGATTACAGGTAGGGTGGTATTTGGGTATCAGGTCAGTGAGGTAGTTTGGGGCAGCATTATGAATGGCTTTGTATGTCAGTGTTAGTAGTTTGAATTTAATGCGTTGGGCAAACGGGAGCCAGTGGAAGGAATGACAGAGGGGGGTGGAGGCCAGTGGAGGGAATGACAGAGGGGGATGGCAGAAGCGGAGCTGTTGGTAAGGTGGATGAGTCTGGCCACTGAGTTCAGGATAGACTGAAGCGGGGATAGTCTGTGATGAGGTAGGCCGGTGAGGAGCGAGTTGCAGTAGCCCAGACGTGAGATAATAAGGGAGTGAACGAATAGTTTAGTAGTGTCTGGGGTTAGGAACGTACATATTTTGGAGATGTTGCGGAGGTGGAGCCTGCATTAGATTGCCAGCGATTGGACATGGGGTTGGAAGGACAGGTTTGAGTCTAGAGTGACACCTAGGACTTTGGCTTGTGGGGTGGGACTGATGGTGGCATTGTTGGTCATGATAGAGAGGGTGGGGGGGGGGGGGGCAGGCTGGGGGGAAAATTAGGAGCTCGGTTTTGGAAAGGTTCAATTTGAGGAAGTGGAGCGACATCCAGTCTGTTCAGTAGGTGGGTGACACGGGCGGAGACTGAAGGGGTGAGGCGAGGGGTGGAGAGATAAATTTGCGTGTCATCGGCATTGAGGTGGTAATTGAAGCCGTGGGAGTGTATCAGTTTGCCGAGGGAGGAGGTGTAGATGGAGAAGAGAAGGGGCCCCAGGACAGAGCCTTGGGGGACCCCAACAGAGAGGGGGAGAGAGGGGGAGGTGGTAGCGTTATAGGTAACACTGAAGGAGCGTTGGGATAGATAGGAGGAGAGCCAGGAGAGAGCGGAGTCTCTGATGCCGAGGGAGTGTAGTTTATTAAGGAGGTGGGGGTGGTCAACTGTGTTGAAGGCCGCGGAGAGGTCGAGGAGTAAGAGGATATTGATATTATTATTATATTACAGCACTACTGTGAAGTGGACACTTTGCACTTTAAATCGGTATTAAACCGCAACCCCTGCAAGGTCATGTCATAACGTGTTAGTATACATCGCATACAACGAGGCATCGCATACTAGCACATTATGAAGGACTTGCCCTACAATGAAGCCCTCCAGTGGTGGTGCAGTGTCCCCGCTACAGAGGCTTCCATGTTTACCCGGTCTCCCTTCCAGGCTCATGAGCTCTGACTGTCTGACTGGCCGATCCATGATGACATCACTCCCGCACTTGCACTCCTTGCAACTGTACATTGCTCTGAAGGATCGGCACGGGTATACCATTCCTTCAGAGCGCATGTGCCGGCTCTCAAAAACGAGAAAATATCTCCTAAATGGTGCACGTTTAGGAGATACTCATTTTACCTACAGGGAAGATTCATGATCAGCTACACCAGACCAGGGGATGTTTTCATGGCTATTTTACAACAGGGCTTCCTTACCGTCTCTGGCTCTGGAGGTTCATGACCCCCAATTATAGTGAGCATACCTTACAGCCTGTCAGATGCTCTGCTAGAAGGCTTATGAGATGGCAATATTACAGCGGGGCTTAATTAGAAGTCATGGGGGGCTTACATCACTCCTCAGACCCAATACCATCATGGGCGGGACTTAAAGTGTTCCCAAACCCCCAACCGTACAATCAGTCTGTAGATGCAGTACAGCATGCTTGTTATACTCACTGTGGAACCTAAGGGGTTAATCCTCGCATTGTGGTATAAGGATGTTTGATCCTGTCTTCTGTGATCCTCCATTTCTTTTGCGGTCCCCATTTCATCTCCTGAACACAGATTTGGTGGGGGGGGGGGCACTCTGCACATGCTCAGTTTGGTGTTTATTGCTAGAGAGTTTTTTTTTTTTTTTTCTTGGGAGGGTGCATGTGATCAGCACAGGACCAATCTGCTCTGTCCAGACAGAGGGTCAGGGGTCCTGCAATCTCATAGGGCAGTGAGAGGAGAAAGAAACCAGCTTTACCAGTGCTCAGTTGGACACTGATAGAAGTCACAAGACTGCTATATGCTGCTGATGAGGAAATGTATTTATCAGTTTATATTTACTACAATAATTCCATGTTCTATGTACTGTGGGTGACCAGATATAGTGAATGCGGGGTCCGGGGAGAGCAGATATAGTGAATGCGGGGTCCAGGGAGAGCGAATATAGTGAATGCGAGGTCCGGGGAGAGTGGATATAGTGAATGCGGGGTCTGGGGAGAGCGGATATAGTGAATGCGGGGTCCGGGGGAGAGTGGATATAGTGAATGCGGGATCCGGGGAGAGCGGATATAGTGAATGCGGGGTCCGGGGAGAGCGGATATAGTGAATGCGGGGTCCGGGGAGAATGTATACAGTGAATGCGGGGTCCGGGGAGAGCGGATATAGGGAATGCGGGGTCCGGGGAGAGCGGATATAGGGAATGCGGGGTCCGGGGAGACCGGATATAGTGAATGCGGGGTCCGGGGAGAGCGGATATAGTGAATGCGGGGTCCGGGGAGAGCGGATATATAGTGAATGCGGGGTCCGGGGAGAGCGGATATAGTGAATGCGGGGTCCGGGGAGAGCGGATATAGTGAATGCGGGATCCGGGGAGAGCGGATATAGTGAATGCGGGGTCCGGGGAGAGCGGATATAGTGAATGCGGGGTCTGGGGAGAGCGGATATAGTGAATGCGGGGTCCGGGGAAGAGCGGATATAGTGAATGAGGGATCCGGGGAGAGTGGATATAGTGAATGCGGGGTCCGTGGAGAGCGGATATAGTGAATGCGGGGTCTGGGGAGAGCGGATATAGTGAATGCGGGGTCCGGGGAGAGCGGATACAGTGAATGCGGGGTCCATGGAGAGCGGATATAGTGAATGAGGGGGCAATATCACGCATGAGTGAAAACAGTAGATGACCCGGATGTTTATGTCCAAGGAATCTTTTTAAACACAAACAAAAAATCCAAATGTTAAAAGTAGATCGGCCTAATGAGATCATGAAGCCAGAATTCTGCAGATTATATATTATGTATCACTCATTATGTATACAGATCATGTGATAAATGATATTATACTCATTGCTGGTAATTGTTGTGTATATCGCTCGCTCTGGTCGGAAGGGCGTGGCTACAAGGTCACATGCACACCGCATCACTTCCACTTGTACAGAAGGCATCAACACTACGTATTGCCCGATGAATGATTTTTTTAGATTGGTTAATGTGGGCCACGATTTCAACCAACGAACGAACGCCTCTCGGTGGTCGGGTGACCGATCGGTCGATTTTCTAGTCGTGTATTCCCACCTTAACAGAGTAAATCTGTCCAAACTGATCAGCAATCCCATCTTCTGGCTCATGAATATGGCTGTATAAAAATGGCAACTAGCACATGAGATCTTGCTGGTGTCCGATGGAAGGTGATGTGCAGAAAGTCCTCTTACACTGTACGCTTGTAATGTTCGAGCATCGATTACATACATACACCGAAAAATACAGAACAATGAAGAACAAAAGATCCATCACCTTTTATTATTGCCCTAAAATTGTACTTACTAATAGATAATAAAAATGGATAATTTTGCAAATATATTATTAAAAATAAACAAACGTAATTGTGAATCTGATTATATTCCAACATTTATAGTCCAACATTTCCAGAGACAAATCTCTAAATCTGGTGCCTGTTCTTGGAAAGTCCGGCATACACTGTAGTTATGATCGTGTCTATTTAATGAATTGTGAATTGTGATATTTAACCACTTCCAGTCCGGACACACCCCCCTCCCCCCCCCCCCCCCCCCCCCCCACCCCCCCCCCCCCCCCCCCCCCCCCCCCCTGCCCAGGCCAATGTTCAGCTTTCAGTGCTATCACACTTTGAATGACAATTGCGCGGTCATGCAACACTGTACCCATATGAATGTTTTAGCTTTTTTGAGACAGATAAAACTTTATTTTGGTGGTACTTGTTCACCACTTGGATTTTTATTTTTTTTGCTATATAAATGTAAACGTCCAAAAATGTTTTAAAAAAGTGTTTTTCTTATAACATTTTGCAAATGAATAATCTTTCTTCATAAACCTTAGCCAAAATGTATTCAGTTTATTTTTAATTAAAAAAAACCCAAATTAGTTTATAACCAAAATGATAAAATGATAATTTTTCTAATTTTTTAAAAAAATATATTATTATTTATTTATTTATTGTTAACATATCATCACCCTAGCAGTAGTGGCACCATAGTGACACTGTACTACTTGTGGGGGGTGATGAAGATATTTTTTTCTTTTTTTACACTGATTGCAATCCTTTCTCCTTCTCTCTGGCTTCATTCCTGCAGCCATTGAGAAATACTGTGAGAGCTGTGATTGGTCACAGCTTGTCACATGGTACAAGGCTGTTGTGAATAGTCTTGTACCATGTGACCTCGGTGATCATTCACAGATTTCACACGTAGTAAGCAATGATGTCAGAAGTGACATTGTGTTTGCTACTATTAATGTGATCACTGATTGGCCAATCAGTGAACACATGAATTGGGACCTCACACAGAGGTCCCGTACAGCGATTGGTGTTCCGCTGTGTCCTCCTTGGGAGCGCGCACAGGCAGTTAATGTGGGGACATTTATAAATGGCAACCCGCTTCGCACTGCTCCCTTCCGTCCGTTTATGTACATGGGCCAGACAGGAAGTGGTGAAAGTTACCACTATCTTCAAATATTGGCTCTACAATAAACAATTCTATCCTTCATTCCTGTGATGTCACCAGTTTCTGGGCGGAGTTCTCACATCTCAGGACTTTCCCCCACAGATCTTTATACAACCTCTCACTACACATACCCCGGCATGGAGGGGCTCAGTGAAGGTGGTGGTGAAGGTGTGGAGGTGTCGGATCCGATCACACAGATCATAAAAGGAGATCCGCCCGGCCTCATAATCCAGATATATCCTGACTCTGGTACTGGGGATGTTTGTAGATAAGGCGATTTCTAGACCTCAGCAAACCCCAGGACTTGTCATTCCTTCCTATTCCTGCCTGCAAAACCATCCTGTCCATACTGGGGTAACACATTCCAACTCTCCACCAATCTGATCCCTCCACATTCACTTCCCAGTAGTGTTGACCTGATGAGAAACGTTGCCTGCTCAATACCTGAAGATGATCTGTAAGTCTCTCTGGAGTTTCTGGGCGATTCTGGTTTCTATCTGACCAGAACGCAGTTTTCCCGTCAACTGATATATGTAGAATATTACCAGCTGTGTTTCCATCCAATAATATGTCCTCAGCTCCCAGTATATAGAAGGATACATTTCCCTCTGTTATTATATCAGATAATGTGTGTAATGTGTGTGATATCCCAGCCACATCCAGCCTCCCTCCATCATGGAGGAGTCCCTCATGTCTCTCTCTGTCCTCATTATCTCCATCCTCAGTATCACACAAGTCACCTGTGTCTGATTCCTGTAGGACAGTCAGTGGATCCGTCATGTTACACAGCTCCTCAATGTCACGCATCTTCCTGGACAGCTCCTCCTTCTTTATTTCCAGATCCTGGATGGAGATGGAGATCCGCTCTGCCCTCCCGGAGATTTCCCTCAGGACTCTCTTCTCCAGGTCTTCCAGACGTCTCCTGAGATCTCTAAACAGGGCAGTGTGACTCTCGTGATATCACCAGCTGCTTCATCTTCTACTTTCCTTCTGTGTTCCTGCAGACTCTGGACTCTTTCCTCCATCTCCTCTCTCTTTGCCTGACGTTTCTGCAGGACATCCTCAATTTATTCTTCTTCTTCTTACCAGAAGCCTTGTTCAGTTTTTCCACCTTGCAGAAGACTCTGGACTTCTGCTGATCTGGCAGAGAAGACTGGAAACTCTCCACTATGTTTTGCAGTTTCTTGTTCCTCTGCAGAGCAGGACGACTCCTGAACTTTGTTTTGCATTCAGGACAGGAATATCCTCCAGACCCCTCCTGTGTATCCAGCACACAATCAATACAGACCCGGCAGAAGTTGTGTCCACATCTCAGGGTTACAGGATCTGTATAAATGTTCAGACAGACGGAACATTCCAGCTCAACTCTCAGAGCAGCAGACGCCATCACTGACAGCAGAAGAGGGAGAGATAATCTGCGAGAATATTAAAGAGGTTCTCTTAAGTGGTTTCATGGACCTTTGGACATTGCTGGAATTAGAAAAAGATGAATTCATGATTGGCTGTTCTTACAGGACATACATTACATAAACATGACATTCTTCCACAGTCAGTTGTCAGTCGATCACAGTTTTGTCCCCCATCCTGTGCTGACTCAGTCATTGCTGTGCTAGACTGCTGCTTTATCAGTTTAAAGTGAACCTGTCCTGTGTCATTTGGGGCAAATCAACAAGTAAACCTCACGTCCACTCTCTCAAATATCACATATGTACCTTACCTTTTGCTCCTCTATCACTCTGTATATGGTAAGCTTTGAGTCAATCTAGTCAGAGCTTACAGAGGGCTGAGGTCTCTCCCCATCCCTGCCCCCATGACAGTGGAGGACCAATCAGTAAAACTGCTTTCATATGGGAAGATAAGTGATTGACTCTCAGGTAAGTTTATCCTTAAATCAATTCATGTTTATACAGTATACACTCACCGGCCACTTTATTAGGTCCACCTTGCTAGTGCCAAGAAAATTCCCCCCCCCCCCCACTGTTAAACCACCACCAGCCTGAACCCATGATACAAGGCAGGATGGATCCATGCTTCCATGTTGTTTACGCCAAAATCTGACCTTACCATTCGAATGTCACAGCAACCAGTCTGCGCATTCTCCTCTGACCTCTGACATCAACAAGGCATTCTCCTCCACAAAACTGCCGCTCACTGGAAATTTTCTCTTTTTCGGACCATTCTCTGTAAACCCTAGAGATGGTTGTGCATGAAATCCCAGGAGATCAGCAATTTTTGAAATACTCAGACCAGCCCTTCTGGAACCAACAACCATGCCACATTCAGAGTCACTTAAATCCCCTTTTTTCCCCATTATGATTCTAAGGTTGAACTTTAGCAAGTCATCTTCACTACATCTAGATGCCTAAATGCATTGAGTTGCTGCCATGTGATTGGCTGATTAGCAATTTGTGTTACCAAGCCATTGTATCTAATAAAGTGGCCGGTGAGTGTATGTCCTACTGTTGAGACCTACATGAAGTAGAATCACATGTAACTGGAATGCCTTTGTAGTCTAAACATACAGTTGTGCTCAAAATTTACATCTCCTGGCAGAAATTGTGAAATGTTGGCATTGATATTGAAAATATGACTGATAATGCCAAAAAATGTTTTTTTTTTATTGAAGGATGATGATCATATGAAGCCATTTATTATCAAATAGTTGTTTGGCTCCTTTTTAACTCATAATGATAACAGAAATCACCCAAATGGCTCGGATCAGAAGTCTCCACTTCCAGATCACAGGTTTCCCTCCCCTGGAATATTCAGCCTTGGTACAGACACACAAGGTGACACACACGGGTTAAAATGCCAATTAGAGGTTAATGTCCAACATTTGTGGTTTTTTAAATTGCAATCAGTGTCAGTGTATAATAGTCAATGAGTTTGTTAGCTCTTACGTGGAAGCACTGACTAGGCTAGATACTGAGCCATGGGGATCAGAAAAGAACTGTCAAAAGTCCTGCGTAACAAGGTAATGGAACTTTATAAAGATGGAAAAGGTCATAAAAAGATGTCCAAAGCCTTGAATATGCCAATCATCACTACCACTAAGAAGTAGAAAATTCAGGGACCTCTTGATACCAAGCCAAGTACAGGTATACCAAGAAAGATTGCAGCCACAACTGCCAGAAGAATTGTTTGGTAACCACAAGAAAACTCCAGGCTGCTCTGAAAAAAGACAGTGTAGTTGTTTTGAAGGAGCACAATATGATGACACTTGAACAAAAATGAGCTGCATGGTGGAGGTGCCAGAAAGAAGCCTTTACTGCATCAATGACACAAGAAGGCCCGGTTAGGCATGTTAAGGTGTTGTCAGGCACATTGTAACCGGGCTTTTTTGTGTCCTTGGTGCAGTAAGAGCTTCTTTCTGGCACCTCCACCAAACAGCTTATGTTTGTTCAAGTATCACAGTATTGTACTCCTTAAAAACAACCACACCATCTTTTTCCAAAGCAGCCTGTTTTTCATTTGAGGTTGCCTGTGGGTTTTTCTTTGAATCCCGGACAATTTTCTTGTCAGTTATGCCTGCAATCTTTCTTGGTCTACCTGACCTTGGCTTGGTATCATGAGATCCCCGAACTTTCCACTTCTTAATAGGTGATTTCACAGTACTGATTGGCATATTCAAGGCTTTGGACATCTTTATATGTCCTTTTCAAGCTTTATAAAGTTATATTACCTTGTTACGCAGGACTTTTGACAGTTCTTTTCTGATCCCCATGGCTCAGTATCTAGCCCAGTCAGTGCTTCCATGTAAGAGCTAACAAACTCATTGACTATTTATACACTGACACTAATTGCAATTTAAAAAGCCACAGATGTGGGACATTAACCTCTAATTGACATTTTAATCTGTGTGTGTCACCTTGTGTGTCTGTACCAAGGCCGAACATTACAGGTGGTGGAGACTTCAGATCCAGGGGGTGTAGACTTCTGATCCAGGGGCGGAGACTTCTGATCTGGGCCGTTTGGGTGATTTCTGTTATCATTATGATTTAAAAATGAGCCAAACAACTATTTGATAATAAATGGCTTCATATGATCATCATCCTTCAATAAAAGAGCATTTTTTTTTGGCATGATCAGTCATATTTTTCAAAATCAATGCCAAAATTTCACAATTTCTGCCAGGGGATGTACACTTTTGAGCACAACTGTAACTGTTTGCACAGCCAATGGACCAACCGGCCCACCAGATGTTACTCTAAGACTAGATGTCCTTATGTTAGGTCTTCTGGGAATAAAATACTTTTATTCAATGCAATCCTATAGGAGATGCCTCAGTTTTATCCTAAGATTAATTTAAATGTTATTTTCCTTTTATGATTGTGACATGGGGGTAGTTAGCTCCCGTGGTAGATGCGTTTGTACAGTGAGTCCACAGCAGACAGTAACTATAGTTGAGGGGCTGGCAGCACACTTTTATTACAGAAGTCCAACCCAGAGTCCAACCCAGAGTCCAACCTACAGTCCAACGTACAGTCCAACCTACAGTCCAACCTACAGCCCAACCTAGAGTTCATCCTAGAGTCCAACCTAGAGTCCAACCTACAGTCCAACCTACAGTCCAACCTACAGTCCAACCTACAGTCCAACCTAGAGTCCATCCTAGGGTTCTTCTACAGTAACAATACAAATAGAAATGCTAGCCCACCTTGTGTATAAAACTGACCAGCAGACTCCTGCCTGTCAGGTGGAAGCATTCGGGGGCTGCACTGCCATCCAATTGCTTCCAGACATCTCTAATAATGGCACTTCCCCCCCACTCAGGCCCCCACCATGTGTCCCGGTCTCTGTCCATCTGTGGACCCTGGACCCACATAGAGGGTGTCGCCAGGTAGAGGGGAGGGTGGGCAGTGTAAACACATCCACTCTCCTTACCTCCTTGTTGCTGACCCGGAAAGCAGCGTGTATGACGTCACTTCTGGTTCCTCCTGTCCCTTTCCCCAGTTACGTAGCCGGGAAGGAATGTATTACAATATGATGTGGGGCACAGAGGAGACATGCAGGGTCATTTATTGCATTTGCCCTAAAATTCACTTTAATGTGTTTTTTACTGAAATTTTGGTTTCCTAGACCTTTCTGATAATATTGTGTGGCATAAAAAATTGTAGCTACCACTATTTTATTCTCCAGGGTGTCTGCTTTCAGAAAATATATAATATTTGAGATTATATCTAGACTTCGGTCCTAGCATGATTTTTGAAACGTGTGCAAAATTGGCAAAAAACGGCTCTGGCACAGACAAGGTGAAGCTGGTGACCCAGACCACAGGTTCTCCAATGCAAACGGCTTCACTCTACAGCACACGGCTCCTCGGGCCTTCGTCTTCAGGTCTTTGTCTCTGGCAGACCATCATGCTCTGGCTGCCCCATGCAGCCTCTCTGACTCCTGCAGAGGGATTGGATCAGGATTGGATGGGAGACCTCCTGTCTCTCTTGGGTGGAGCACTGACCTCTGATTCTGACTCTAAGAAGCCAGCTCACACCGGTGCCATCAGTGTGCCCGATTTCTGCAAAACCCGGCCTAGACTCCCATCTTACACAGCGGCATGTCCTCGCCCTGCCAGAGGGTATATACAGTAGTTATATTCCTGGGGTGTGTGTGCCATTATTTATGATATTAATCTTTGGTGTATTATAGGGTTGTCACCTCATCCCTTTAATCCCTCCCCCTCCAGAGGATCCCCCCCTTTCTGACCAGGCCATTTTTTGCAATACGGCGCTGCATTATTTTAACTGACAATTGCGCGGTCATGGAACGCTGCACCCAAATAAAATTTATGTCCTTTTTCCCAAAAATAGAGCTTTCTTTTGTTGGTATTCCATTGCCTGTGCATTTTTACTTTTTGCGCTCGAAACAAAAAAAAAAACGACAATTTAAAAAAAAAACACACAATATTTTTTTCTTTTTGCTATAAAACATGTCCAGTAAAAAAAAATTATAAATCAAATTATGTCATAAATTTAGGCCAAAATGTATTCTGCTCCGTGTCTTTGCTAAAGAAAAATCCCAGAACGTGTAAATGAATTGGTTTACGTGAAAGTTATAGCGTTTGCAAATGGCGGTATATATACTGGAATTTTCTTTTTAATTTCATACTAGTAATAACGGCAATCAACAACTTACAGCGGGACTGTGGTGGGCATTTTGACACTGGGGGGGAACAGACTGTCGCTGACATCCGCAGTGACACCAATACAGTGATCAATGCTAAAAAAAAAGCCCCAACACTGTACTATTAGCTCTGGGCAGGATGGGATTAACATCTGGGGCCATCAAAGGGTTAACTGTGTGCTGGGAGTGTTTTACTAGGGAGACATTCTATGCAGAGCAAAACAAAGCAGCATGCTGGAGCTGACAGGGGAGAGATCTGTGTTGTTTACATACAGCCCTCTCCCCTGTCACTGTTCCCCGGCAATCACTGGGTGCCGGTGGGGAATCTCTGGCCGGGATCCGGTGATAGACAGCCGTAGCCACCAATGGCAGCACATGTAGGGCAGTGCACGTGTCCCCTACCCATAAATGCAAAATATATGGAATTTTGCACAGCCCTGTCGCCCTGTAGCAGTATTTGTGCTATAGGGTGGGGGGAAGTGGTACTGAACACATATGAATTACACGGGTTCTGTGGCTGATTAAGGTGGTAATCTCACCTGTCTCCTTATCTGAATGAAATGATCCTCAGATCCCGTGTAATAATGATGTGTCCGGGTTGGGTGCAGGGATGAGGTGGTAACCCTTGTGTATTATCATCTTCACTGGTTTCTGCCTACCTACAGTACATTTACTGGGGGAGCTCCGCACCAGCAGGCTGGATTTCGTACATGTATGTCATCCAGCCTGTTCTGGGTTGTCAGTGGCTACAATGGGATTCTGTCAGCAGGTCTGGCTGTAGCCAATCACAGCACAGAGTCCTGTGGTTACAAACGCACAGACCTCTGTGCACAGATCAGCAGTGTGGCTGTTACAGGCAGATCTGTAAGTGAAAGCAGCACATAGGACACACATTACACCTGGTAGGCACACAGGAAACCCCTTTGATTGGCCCTTGCTGTTAACCCCTTCCCAGTCAGTGACATTAGTACAGTGATAGTGTACAGTACTGTATCTGATCACTGTTTCAGTGTCACTAGTGATGTCAGTGTCAGTTACTGTACCTCCGGTGTTATGGGAGGACCATTCTAACCCATTGTGTGCTGGAGTCAATGTGTCCTTGTAACTAATTGCTTTCCTTTCACAGCTGACTTTCAGGGTCTGTTTAGATTTAATATGTGTAACATGTGGCTCATCAGAAGGTTATTCTGTATATCTCCTTCAGAATTCATATGAATAATTATAATTTAATATCAGAAAAACCTGACATATCCGTATACTGTACCGTATACTCTGGGCTGCAGGTATACACACAGACCCCACCCATTAAAATGTACTGTACACCTTTTCCTCAAAAAGTGGCCACTGAAGTGCCAAGAGACATGATGATGATGATGATGTCTTAACCTGTTTTTACGATCAATAAATACCGACCTTCCTGAAGAATCCACTTGGTTATAAATGGTACAGATTTGTGACACCTAAAAGTACGAGTCTGTATAAATTGTGGCCTTAAACAGGGTAAAATTCTGTGACCCTGATATACCAATCAGATGAATGCCTACTGAGCTCCTAGTTTTCCCCCCACCCTCTCCATCACGACCAACAATGCCACCATCAGTCCCACCCCGCAAGCCAAAGTCCTAGGTGTCACTCTAGACTCAGACCTGTCCTTCCAACCCCATGTCCAATCACTGGCAAACTCATGCAGGCTCCACCTCCGCAACATCTCCAAGATACGTTCGCTCCTAACCCCAGACACTACTCAACAACTCCTTCACTCCCTTTTTATCTCACATCTGGACTACTGCAACTCCCTTCTCACCGGCCTACCTCATCGCAGACTATCCCCGCTTCAGTCTATCCTGAACTCAGTGGCCAGACTCATCCACCTTACCAACCGCTCCGCTTCTGCCACCCCCCCTCTGTCAATGCCTCCACTGGCCTCCACCCCCCTCTGTCATTCCCTCCACTGGCCTCCACCCCCCTCTGTCATTCCCTCCACTGGCTCCCGATTGCCCAATGCATTAAATTCAAACTACTAACACTGACATACAAAGCCATTCATGACGCTGTCCCAAACTACCTCACTGACCTGATACCCAAATACCACCCAACCCGTAATCTTCGCTCCTTACAAGACCTCCTACTTTCTAGCTCCCTGGTCTCCACCTACCACGCCCGACTGCAGGACTTCTCCAGGACTTCCTCCATCCACTGGAACTCACTACCCCAATCCATCAGTCTGTCACCTACCCTCCTCACCTTTAGGCGCACCCGGAAAACCCACCTCTTCAGGAAAGCCTACCCCACCCTCACCTAACAACTGATCTCCTCCACTCCATCCCCCACAGCCACTTCCTCCTGTACCACTATCCCCTCCCTCCTAGATTGTAAGCTCGAAAGAGCAGGGCCCTCGCACCCCTCGTGTATTGTATTGTTACTGTATTGTCTCATGTTCTGTCACCACTATAATGTACAGCGCTGTGCAAACCTTTCTGGAGCTATATAAATACTGTATAATAATAATAATGTTAGGATGAAGGTTCTGATTGACCTTCAGAGTTATGGGTTGTAAATGACAGAAGTCCATCCAGTTCGGATCTTCTCTGATTGGACAACCAGGTAGCCAATCGTTACTCACATAAGAGAACAAAATCCTTCTTATTGGTTCTGTTCATCGCACCACAAATGAGTTTGATTGTTTATGCTCCTTCCAGGTGATATCATCTCGGGTCATCTCCTGATGTCATGGCGACCTCTTCCTCCTCATCCTCCTCCTCACAAGGTATGATTGCTGATCCTGACAATCCTTTCCAATGGTTTCCTCCATCTCATATCTCCAGAGATTTGAATTAGATGATAGGATGTGTTCTGTCTCTGTAGTCTGGACATTTCCTGTAGACATCTGGTCAGTCCTCCCATTAGAAGAGTTCAGCAGATTCCATCAATTCCACAATCACATTTCTGTGTCTTCAGATTTTATTTATCATTGATGGAAATGATCTTCTGAGATGGCCCAGTGATCCATAATGACTGGATGACCCCAAATGTTTTTCCCCAAAGAGGAATTCTTTGTCTATAATCCTAAGGAGGACACAGCCCCGTGTTTCATGGCACACAATGCTGGGAGATTTGGGGTAATCGGAGTTCTTAGTTCACACTGATCAGAAACATTTTTATGGTGGTAGCATTTTTTTTAAAGGATGTATGCATTCTTTTTGTTTACTATAGAAAAAATCAATAAACGTGATGTTTTAAATGGTCACCCCTACATATACTGTACATTAGGTGGTCTATATATAAAAATATGTATACTGAGGTTGTGTCATTTGCACAGCCATCACTAATAATCCCCATAATGTGTCTAATAGGTTTACTTCCTATGATCATCAGCTCCATCTAGTGGCCATATTACAGTATTTGCTTGAAATGCCTTAACTAGTAAGATATGACATTTTGGCCACTCGATGGAGCTGATGATGAAAGTGTAGCGATCCCCCCGAAGGGGCTGCTTAAGTTTGTTCACTCGGCCACTCTGCCTCTCAACCCCAAGAACTGTCTCAGCCCCAACTGACACACTTGACAATAGTGAAGTACAAGGACCAATGAAAAGCACACACGGTATAATAAACACAGAGATCAGCTTTACTGTAAGACCTCTATGGGAAGTAATAAACATTAACAACAGGTATACGTTCGGTGAATCAAGAGAACAGCAAATCCTGAGACCAAAAGCAATATAACTCACCTTTTACACTCAGGCTGCTTTCAGGGGATTCCAACCGTGAATAACCCCAAGAGCAGAGACAACACTTAAATGGCGCCCTCAAAGTGGATTTAACTCCTCTACATAAACTCAGCTCTATGATGTCTAAGCAGGAGGAGAGCAGAAGGATGACTCTCTGTTGTGTCAGACTTCTCCCTTCTAACCCCCGACACCACAAGTCCAATAGGCAAACACTGCGCCCAACTGATGCTTAATAGCTACTTTCCAAGGTAAACTATTCCCCCACACACCATGCAATATAGAGGCCTGACTACGCATGCGTGTGCCCGTATGGCACCAGTAACTTCAGTCTCTTGGTAACAGGATGAATCTTGGGATCTTCAGCGAGACACATTCATTGATGCACTTAAACTCCTTACACACTTAAAGTATAATTGTAATCCCGCGGCAGGATTTGTATAGCAAAGCGAATACTGTGTCTGTTCAGCAGGGCCATCTACACAACCCAGTGCCTGGTGCATATGGGAGAAGTGTAATATCTCTGTATGTGTGCAGTGTTCCTGTCATCTGCCAGTGGGCAAAATCCCTCTCACCAGATCCTGTGGCTAAGGTCCAAACCATGGTCCTGGAGATGACCGACCCCTGTGGTCACCTCACAATAAGCACTTCACACTGCAAGGGTGGGCATTGTACTGTAGGCCACTTCTCTCAGTTTGGATGTTCCCTTGGCTGGTGCAGATCACCAAGCACGCAGTGCACTGCCCATAAGCACTTCTTTGCCAGGTCCCATCTCTCTCCTGCCACATGCAATCTCCTCTCCTCAGGAGAACCCCAAGATGGACCACTTCACTCTGCTCTCTCCAAGCATGATGGCTTTCGTAGTTCTTTTGTAATTCTATCTCCATATCAGCCTATAAGGCCCTTTCTGTTCAAGACTGCATCTTCCACAATCCTTTGCAGCGGCACTTCCTGTTTGAGAAAGTCCCTGTCATTGGCTCCTTTAATGGCTCTTATGATTGGCTCTCTCTATTACAGTCTGAGAGGAGGAGGGGGGCTGAAATCCCTCACTGCTTCATCTGTGTCAGGGCAAGTGTCAGGTTACACAGGAGAGGCCAGTCAGCAGATCACAGCCATGAGATAGGATTCATCTTTATTGCTACAAAAGGAAATAAACATATTTGACATTATGGGGATTATTCATGGAGGTGATTTCTTTTTTATAAATAGACCCCTAGGATTTGTGTTCAATATTCATCCATCTGAGAGGTAACACACCATCCTGGAAGAGGTCATGTGACATTATCACAGCCAATCCCTCCATAGGATAATGTACATACTGTATATACATATTGGGGGGGATTTCCTTCCTCTTCTATATGCTCTTTATAACATTACCACCTGCCAGTATAGACTTATCAGCTGTCATGTGTCAGAAATCATCCAATCAGGATGAATGTTTATGGTTGCTGATTGTCCTCTCTGCAGGGTCGGCTCCTGGTGTTGGAGAAAAGAGGAAACAAACCCCCGGGGATCTTCTCATATATTCTCTGGAGGATCTGAAAGGATGTGACTTCAAGAGATTTAGGGACAAATTGTCTGATTTCTACTATGGAGGTAAACTTCCCATCCCCCGAGGAAAACTAGAAAATGCCGACTGCATCTCCACCAAGAACATCCTGATAGACACATATGGAGAAGAAGGGGCTCTGGATGTCACCTTTGAAGTCTTTACACTGATCGGTCTGATGGGACCCGCAAATGACCTCCAGGAGAGGAGAGCCCAGAATGGTGAGTTCCCATCTATAATGACCATTTCCTACCAATTTCTGATCAATATCTGTGTGAGGAAGAACTAGGAAAGTCATCCAGGGAAAGCCAGCGACCAGTCAGGAGCTTCCAACTGGATGAACCCCTTCCCGCTGACAGTGCGCACATATGGGGCCTCACAGAAGTGGGTCTTTATCCTGGGGGCCTTATATCTGTGTACCTGTCTTTGTGCTGGGAGCGCTGCACAGAGACTAGGATCTCGCCAAGAGCCCCAGGTATCGTACTAATGATCGGGGCCCGGGACTCCCACTTCCCAGTCACCTGATCACTGTGAAAGCTTCTGATTGGCAGCCACAGTGATCAGTCATTTGCAGCCCGCCCCATGTTATTTCTTTATGAATGGAGAGAAAGATACATTGTATACATACAGGATCCATCATATAATACATTGTATACATACGGGATCCATTATATCATACATTGTATACATACGGGATCCATTATATCATATATTGTATACATACAGGATCCATTATATCATACATTGTATACATACGGGATCCATTATATAATACATTGTATACATACAGGACACATTATATAATACATTGTATACATACAGGATCCATTATATCATACATTGTATACATACAGGATCCATTATATAATACATTGTATACATACGGGACACATTATGTCATACATTGTATACATACAGGATCCATTATATAATACATTGTATATACATACAGGATCCATTATATAATACATTGTATACATACAGGATCCATTATATCATACATTGTATACATACAGGATCCATTATATCATACATTGTATACATACAGGACACATTATATCATACATTGTATACATACGGGACACATTATATCATACATTGTATACATACAGGACACATTATATCATACATTGTATACATACAGGACCCATTATATCATACATTGTATACATACAGGACCCATTATATAATACATTGTATACATACAGGACACATTATATCATACATTGTATACATACAGGATCCATTATATCATACATTGTATACACATGGGACACATTATATCATACATTGTATACATACGGGACACATTATGTAATACATTGTATACATACGGGATCCCATATATCATACATTGTATACATACGGGATCCATTATATCATACATTGTATACATACAGGATCCATTATATCATACATTGTATTCATACGGGATACATTATATAATACATTGTATACATATGGGATCCATTATATAATACATTGTATACATACAGGACACATTATATCATACATTGTATACATACAGGATCCATTATATCATACATTGTATACATACGGGATCCATTATATCATACATTGTATACATACGGGATCCATTATATAATACATTGTATACATACAGGACACATTATATCATACATTGTATACATACGGGATCCATTATATCATACATTGTATACATACGGGATCCATTATATCATACATTGTATACATACAGGATCCATTATATCTATCACGTACCTGGTTGGGGAGCCTGACGTGGAGAGGAGGCATCCTCTTTCTACTCCCGCTCGGAGCCCCTGATAGTGGGAACAGAGGACGCAGAGCCAGGAGTGGCACGAGTGCCGGGTAGGTCTCGAGCTGGCGGCAGGAAAGTGAAGACCCAGGAGATCCAGGTGCAGGCCAGGTGCAGATGCAGGAATGTAGGTGCAGCAGCAGGCAGATATGGTGACAATCAGGATGCAGACTGGACTGGACACAGGAGCAGGTATGTATGGTGGTGACCAGGATGCAGGCCAGGTGCAGGACCGTGGGTGAAGCAGCAGGTAACTATGGCAGCCGTTAGGATGCAAGCCAGGTACAGGTAAGTAGGTGCAGCAGAGTCAGACAAGCCGGGTCAGTATTAAATGAGCAAATCAAGTACAAGGGAGCAGGCAGGCAGATAGTCAGGGATAGTCGGGGTCGGTGCAGACGGAGTTCTTTCTTAGTCAGGTCAGATCAGAATACAGGCAACAGGATCAGGTAATAGAGTGCAGGGACATATAGACCAGAAGGCATTGATTTCACCGTATTTCAGATTTAAATAGCCCGCCTTGCGGTGACGTGTATGCTACTGCGCATGCGCGCACTTCTGCGCATGAATGCCTGCACACTCCCATGCATGCACACCGCCACGGCCCAAGGGGATCCTTCACCGTCACACGGCGACAGGATCCCTGACAATATCATACATTGTATACATACAGGATCCATTATATCATACATTGTATACATACAGGATCCATTATATCATACATTGTATACATACAGGATCCATTATATCATACATTGTATACATACAGGATCCATTATATCACACATTGTATACATACAGGATCCATTATATCATACATTGTATACATACAGGATCCATTATATCATACATTGTATACATACAGGACACATTATATCATACATTGTATACATACAGGATCCATTATATAATACATTGTATACATACAGGACACATTATATAATACATTGTATACATACAGGACACATTATATAATACATTGTATACATACAGGACACATTATATCATACATTGTATACATACAGGATCCATTATATAACACAGTGTATACATACAGGATCCATTATATCATACATTGTATACATACAGGATCCATTATATCATACATTGTATCTTTGTGTCCTTGCAGGCGAGAAAGCTGGAAAAAAAACAAAATTTTGTAAAAAAACAAAATGTAAAAACGTTTAAAATAATAATATGTGAATGAAGATTTGTTCCAAGGTTAGTGTTAGGGTGAAGTTAAGGGTGAAAGGTCGGGGGTCAGTGTTCCTTTGACAATAAAAAAAATCAGTAGATTGTCACCATTTCCCATTAAATGAAGCCCAGTGTCCTGAAAACAATCCAGTGTAATCCACCTGGATACACAATGTAGTTGAGATGATTTGTACAGATTTACTAACACGGGTCAGAGTTGTAAAATTGTGTTCAGACATTACCCCCCTGGTGGTATTCCCGAGTGTAGCTCGGGGTTAACTTTCAGTACCAGAAGCAGTAGCCTCGAGCTACACTCGGGAATACCCTGCAGCGCTTCTCCAGCAATCCCTGCAAAACGTACCTTGTCCTGCACACCTGTGATGTCCCCCCTGCAGTGTCCCCTGTAATGTCCTCCGGCCGATGCCGGCATCCGTCTTCTGTGTTCTGTTCCCTGCGACGTATACAGGACAGGACATACGGGACGCACGGGGGACGGAACTGGCGGGAAATTCAAAAATGTTAAAAAGTGACATTCACTAAATACCCTAAAATCACATCGTATAACATTCCTGTATCAAACCATTTCACATACATTGTGTCCCGAGTGCTTTGTCCGGCGCCCTTTTTAGACCGGCTAGAGAACAGCGATAGTAAATCAGAACCACTTGCAGAATTGAGTGATAATGATTTGTGGGGGAAATTCCTCATCAGACACTGAAAACGATTCTGCGACTGAGCTCAGCGATGTGCGAACTTGGCGCTCTATTTCACATTTCAGTGTTTTTGGTTTGATTACATTATTGAATTAAATGTATTATTATTTTCTATGAATATTTATTCTATTATAATTTATGATTTTGTGTTTCAAATTTTATCCTCCCCGGGATGTATACTAGATGTCACAAGTTAGCCTGCAGCCTCTTGTTTATTCTTACCTCCTTGCTGCTCCTGATCCCTTCTCATGTGTGTTTTTGTCTGTACTTCTATGGGTGTTGTCTGCTATTCCCTGGGTTTTATTTCCTTCCCTTTCATCACTTCCTGTCCCGCCTCCTTGTCTGCCTGTCTATATAAGATGTGCTCTGACTAGACCACTCTGCCTGAGCAACTTCGTGTTGTTGGAGTTCCCTTGTGGTTCTGCTGTGAATCCTATATTGTCTAGCTGTGTACCGACCCCGGCTTCGTTCCTTACCTTGCTTGTTTTCCGCCTGTCCTGACCTCGGCTTGCCCATTGGATTCCCTGTGTCTTCTCCCGTTGTACTCTGCTCCCACTAGCAGTCTCCTCAACCTCAGCTGGGTGTACCTGGGGGCTGCGACCTGGTCCCAGCCTGCTGCAAGTCCATCCCCACCACCAGGGGCCCTGGTGAACAAGCAGGCTGGGGCTTAGACTCCATGCCCTGGGGAACCACAAGATATGGATCTATAGAGTTCGCTACCATAGGTGTTGACACTAGACTCTTTTTCGGACAGATTTCAGTGAGGTATTCCTAAGAATTACAGGCCTACAATAAAATAACATATTTCCATGCTAAAAAAATTACCGATTTAAGCACAGATCAAATACTGACATAATAAGACTGCTAGGGAGGTTAACATTTGTTTTACACTCAGTCATTAAGGGGTTAACTAATCTTTACTGAGGGGGTTTACAGAATAAAATAAATTTGGGTATTAAAATTGTGGATGAAGAAAGAGTATGGAGTTCAGGAACATTCTGAAAGGGACACAGTGTAACAATTCTCCAGGATGCTGGTAGTCAGTCCCCATAACACAATGACATCACTCAGCTTGCCGAGCAGAACAATACAATTGCAGCCACTTGCCTATTATACAGACCCTCCATATTTATAGCTGTATTACAGGGAGACCCTCATGACTTTTTGGTGTTCTGAGCCTTGTGCCCAAGGCATCCACCTGAACCTCCATCAGAAAGAGGAGTCACAGCTCCAGATTCCAGGCATATGCATGTAAACCCTGCATAGAGAATTGGGGGGGTTCTGGTCCCCCCACCATGGTTACATGTCACTGCAATGTGCTGAGATGTTACCAGGCAGACATAGACACTCCCCATCACCTGCATGGAGAAATAGAGAGACTCCAATCTACAGAGGGTTGGTGGGATGATGGTGTCGGGGAGGATCTGCTACACTAATAACTCTCTTAGTTATTATTTTATACATTTCAGAGGTTTGTCAGGACTAATCACTTCCCTCATCTTATTTCCAGCCAAACTGAAGAAGAAGATGACACACAGACAGATTATCAGGTTAGTAGGACATCAACTTTTCATATGGAATCTCTTCTGGATGAACATTTTGTTCTGTTGTAGTCTGGATCAGTGGTGGAACTACCAGGGTCACAAAGGTTGTACTAGCAGCTTGAGTCGCATTGATTAGGATGGCACCCACTGAAATAAATGTGTTATGATTTGTCATGTGACTTTGTGTCATACTTCACATAAGTGGCAGCAGTGTGAACCAGGGCTTATAAAAGGCCCTGTGATGGAAGTAGTGGGAAGGGCCCCAGGACCAAAGGGTCCCAAAAGGGCCCCAGCTGTCAGGGGGACCCTTCATGGTTTCTCTTTGCTCCTCTGCTCTGGATGGTGTGTCCATAGTTTGGATGCTTCCACAATCCTCCAGTATTTCATGAGATATCTTCTGTTAGGGTTCCATTCTTCGGGTTTATAGTTAGAATATAATATTTCCAACTCTGTCTTATAAATACTATTTCATGTGTGTATGAGGAATAAAATATTTTCCTTTCTCTCATAAAGACTTCAGAAAGGAACACAAAGTGTCTATGAAAAAGAGGTTCCAGAAGATTAAAGAATATAATTCCTGTAGGGGGGAGACTGTTCATCTACAGAAAAGATACATCAAGTTACCAATGAGAAAAGGACCCCAGAAAAAAGAGGAAAAAAAACAAGAACTAAGGAGTTCAGCCAGAAGACATCTACAGACCATGGAGAAAAGACCTTCTGATGGATCCTCCCCAACCACAATCCAGGCCCTCTTTGACCCTGATGAAGTTGGTTGTATCCCTAAGATTGTGGTGTTAGAAGGACCTGCTGGGATTGGTAAAACAATGACCTCCAAGAAGATCATGCTGGACTGGGCCTCTGGGAATCTCTACCAAGACAAGTTTGACTTTCTGTTTTATCTGAGCTGTAGAGAAATCAACACCATCCCTGGAAACATAAGCCTTGTGGGACTTTTATCCAGAGCCTGTGGACTAGAGAGTTCAGATGACCTGGTGTCTCTTCTAGAGGATCCTGAAAGTCAAAGAAAACTTCTCTTTCTAGTTGATGGGTTTGATGAGCTGAGTTGGACTCTGGAGGAGAAATCTGAGGTTTGTCATGACGTTTTAAAAGAAAACCACAAGGAAATAATTCTCCAAAGATTGCTCAGGAGACAGGTTCTCCCACATTCTTCTCTGATCATCACCACGAGGTCACTGGCCATGGAGAAACTTAACACATTCATTGATGATCCTCGCAATGTGGAAATCCAGGGATTTACAAGGGACGATCGAGAGGAATATGTCCATCAATTCTTTGGAAATAAGGAAGATGCAGACAAGGTTCTCAGTATAATAAAAGACAATGAAGTTCTGTACACCATGTGTGCCGTCCCCATCACATGCTGGATTGTCTGCACTGTAATGAAACAAGAAATAGAAAAAGATTTGGGTTTAATTCAGTGTAAAACGACGACTTCAATTTACCTTCTCTACCTGGAGGTTCTAATAACCCATCACAGCAAGGAGCAGTCTGTACGCAGGAAACAAACCTGTCTGAAGAAGCTGTGTGCTCTGGCCAATCAGGGAGTTCTGCAGCAACAAATCTTATTTGAGAAGAAAGATCTAGAAAGACATGGACTTTCTCTGTCTGAGGTGGAGTCTGTATTTCTGAATGAGAACATCTTTCATTGGGACATCCGCACCCAGACCTGCTACAGCTTCATCCACCTGAGTGTACAGGAGTTCCTTGCTGCTCTGTATTATGTGCTGGATGATTGGTTTGGATTTATAAAAGGCATTTTCCTCCCGGAGATCTGTAAAGGGAAATCACTCCATGACTTCAGTTCACGTCACTCACATTTATCATTAGCTGTACAATTCCTGTTTGGTCTCCTAAATAAAAATCAGGTGAAGACATTCTCAGAGATCACAGGAATCAACATCTCACTCCGAGCCAGACCTGCCATGATGAAATGGGTCATGAAGGACATTGATTGGGATCTCTATCCTCAGACCATCTTCTATCTGTATGAGACTCAGGATGAGGACTTCATTAGGAGCGTCATGTCTGGTTGTTCAAGTCTGAAGCTGAAGGACTCACTTACTGATCGCTTGTTGATGAGAAGTAATTATTCCAAGCAGCTGAGCTATTGTTTGAAGGCTTTGAAGAGAGAAACTTTTCAGTCTTTATCTTTTGAATGGCTCACTGTGGATCCGGAGTGGCAGAAAATGCTGTCTCCATTCCTACACAGGTGTCAGGAGGTCAGGTAAGTGAGTGTGAGGATATCCTAACTGAATGTAGAGAATGGGCAGGAACCTGCATACAGTATAACGGGGATTATCAGACATGTTCTCCATCTACCACACGTGTTAGAAATCCTGGGAACTCATTCTTTCCTCAGTCCTCTGCCCTGGGTCACTCTGGTGGGAACTTTCCAGCGACATTCTGGTGACATGTAAAGTCGCAGGTGAAATGAAAAACACAGATTTTATGGGGTTCTCTCTTAATTGCTGCACCTCAAGTCGCTGCAACAACAAAAAAACTTCTTGTTCTACTTTTGGGTGATTCTTGAGCTGCACGCCTCCCATAGACTTCAATGTAAAATCACCAGCAAGTCATACATTTGTCTTCATCTTTGTGACTTTGCTGCGACTTCTGAGGCAGTGCTTTATTTACCCCTCACCTCTCCTCCCTGGTCATCCTTGTTGTCTAAAAACTTCCTCAAAAGCACATGCCATTCACACCTGAGCGTAGCAGAAACGCATGTGCCCGCTCACATTTTTCTGCGGATTGTGGCAAAACGCACCAAAAACGCACCGGAGCACACATGTCCCCTTCTAAATTGAAGAAAAAGAGAGAAGGGAAAACAAACTGGAATGAATAAAAGAACATCGGAACGCATGAAAAACTGTGCATTTTTGTTGCGTTCCTGTGCATTTTTGATGCATGTTGCGCATTCCAGTGCAGTTCTGTGTGGAGGAGATGCAGCGTTTTCTGCTTTTTTCTGCGGCTGGAACGCACTGGAACTGCAAGCGCTGATGTGAACTATGACATTGACCACCATGTAACCTACTTTCTGTGCATTTTGGATGGAGATGAAAAGTAACTGAAACGCATGGAGTGTGAACCGGCCCTCAATCTGCTTCCTTTCTGTTCTTTTTTTCTTCACAGCTCATCTCTGCAACCCTGCCTGCCCATTGGCTTGTGTGGCGTCGGTGTCATGCGTTTCCATGACACTGGTGACCTGCCTCCACCTCGTCCTGCCCGGTGCTGACGTCATGCATTTCCATGACAATGGTGACTTGCCTCCGCCTCATCCTGCCCGGTGCTGACATCATGCGTTTCCATGCCTCCGCCTCATCCTGCCCGGTGCTGACGTAATGCGTTTCCATGATAACGGCGGCCGGTGCAGGAATGATTTTGGCGCATGCGTGAGCAGTAAACTGGCATGGTGCATGCGCAGGTGACATGCGTTGCCATGACACTGTTGGCGGCTGCACCAATAGGACCACTGTAGGTGTGTCCTCCTCGCAGGTCACGTGACAATAGGAGACCCCGCCCCCCACATCTCTCAGCAACAGCTTTCAGCTTCTGTCGGGGACATTTCTGCTGCTGGTCGTTGTTTCCATAATCCAGCGCTGCTTTCAGCTGACACTTTGCTCCAATCCGGGGAGGACTATGATATCATGTGACCACAATGTCTATATCCCAGGAAATGCAGGTGATGTCATCTGATTATTGCTTTATGCTTGATTGATTTTCATAGTTTAACCCCTCCCCCTCCAGAAGATTCCCCCCCCCCCTTTTCCAGAGGATTCCCCCTCCCCCTTTAGAGGATCCCCCCCCTCCTTCAAAGGATTCCCCCCCCCCGCCCTTGCGTTATTTTAACTGACAATTGCGCGGTCATGCAGCGCTGCACCCAGATTAAATTTTCATCCTTTATTCCCCACAAATTGAGCTTTCTTTCGGTGGTATTTGATCCCCTGTGCAGTTTTTATTTTTTTGAGCTATAAGCAAAAAAAAAATTAACATTTTGAGAAAAAACCCAATATTTTTTACTTTTTGCTATAAAACATGTCCAGAAAAAAAATTAAAAATCAAATTTTGTCATAAATTTACACCAAAATGTCTCCCCGCTCCGTGTCCCCCACTCCGTGTCTCCCCACTCCGTGTCTCCCCCCTCCGTGTCCCCCTGCTCCGTGTCTTCGCTGAAAAATCCCGATACGTGTAAATTAATTGGTTTATGTGAAAGTTATAGCGCCTACAAATGGCGGGATAGATACTGGGATATTAATATTTTTACTGGTAATGGCGATGATCAGCGACTTATAGCGGGACTGCGGCGGCATTCTGACACTGGGGGGGGGGGGACTGACTTGGTGTCACTGACATCCCCAGTGACATCAATACAGTGATCAGTGCTAATAAAAAGCACCAACACTGTACTAATGGCACTGGGGAGGAAGGGGTTAACATGAGGGGCAATCAAAGGGTTAACTGTGCTGGGAGTGTGTTACTAGGGGGTGGGTGTGTTTGTGTTACTAGGGGGTGGGGTGTGTTGCTATGGGGTGGGGGACGTTACTAGGGGGTGTTACTACGGGGCAGGGTGTGTGTCACTAGGGGGTAGAGAATGTTACTAGGGAGCGGGGTGTGTGTTACTAGGGGACAGTGTCTGTGTTCTTCACTGTACTCACACTGCTGTGGATGGCTGTGCTGTTCCCGAGGAGGATTGTTACTAAACAAAACATTCCTCCTCCCCATCAGTGATTGTCGGTAATTTCCGGGTGCCGGCGGGTAATCACCTGCTGGGACCCGGTGATTGACGTCCATGGCCATGAATGGCGGTGTGGGTAGGGCATGTGTGCAGCTCACATGTCCCCCCCTGTACTCAGAACTCCAAAGTCCCGTGTATACATACATGATTTTGCGCCCCCGTGTCGCCCTGTAGCAGTATATTGGACATACGGCGGCGGGGAAGCGGTTATAATGTTTCTGGTTACATTGATTGGAATGTATTTTTGGAGGGAACATGACATCATGGGGCGGGGCCCTTTTCCTTCTCTCTAATTGGTGGATGGTTTTCTCCAGTCTCTGTCTCTGATGAAGGGGTCCTGCGTGACTCAGAACCCTCTCCTTGCTGGAACTATGTGATGGATCAGTAAAATGTTTGGAGCCGTATTGGTGATCCTCGGTGAGCTGGTGACATTTTCCCTCGCTGATTCTGTTGGCTTCCAGCCGACGGTCGCTGCCCCGCCCACTTATACACACCGCCATTTGTAATGCAGGAACGTGTGCGTTTGGATTGGACACTCGCATTCTGAAAAAACATGCCACACCCCATGACTGAAATGTTCTAGAGTGACTTTGGAGCGTTTGTTGCACGCAGGGCGGCCCATTCAGGTGAAGGCCATACGTGTTTATTCTTGAAAACACGGCAAACATGCAAGTGAGAACACACGTGTCTGCTATGCTCAGCTGTGAATGGAATGTACTTGGGAGGAAGTTATTCGGCATGACCAGGGAGGAGAGGTGAGGGTTAAACAACAACAACCCTGACCCATCAATGTCACTTCAGAAGACTTCTCAGTAAAGTGGCCCTGAAGTGGCCCCTGGTCGCCGGGAAGTTAGAGAGGAAAGTGGAGCTGGAAGTCGCTGCAACTTTCATGTCAGGAGAGTGAGAACCAGAACCAGAGCTTAAATGGAGGATCCACAGATATCACCTGATACAGGACTAGAGCACCAGAGATAGGTCATCCAAATCCCCCCCTCCCCCTTTAGCTATACTTAAAGAAAAACATGACACCAATTTTGGAGTAAATGGCCAACATGGCCTTTTATTAACAAACATTTTAACACCAACCCATTCCTTATAACAGAAACATACAGAGTTGTTGTTGTTGGTCTTCGAAGGCACCGCACAAAATGATCTGAAATTCACCTGCGGACAACCATATTACACAAAGGCCTCCACCCGCAACCAACCAGCTCGGAGACAACCATACCGTCCGCAGTGCAGCACCACCACCCTCCAGTTAAA